GCCCTTCAACACCGCTTGGCTCGGTACCACACACACACACACACACACATATATATATATATATACACACAGAGGTCAGAGGTCACAGGCTGCAGGTTCAATATATGTGTGTGTGTGTGTGTGTGTGTCACAGGTTGTTTGGTGTGTGTCCAGCAGTTCACCATGGTAACGGAGAGATTCCTCCAGTCAGATTTCCCCTCGTACCAACACCTGGACCAGGACAGGTTCATCACACGCAAACACTGCAGGTACACACACACACACACACACACATGTTTCGATTCTTTGTGGGGACCTAGCATTCATTTCCTGGAGACTTACCCTCACAGGTGTGTGTGTATTTGACAGAGTTTACCTGCAGTTCTCTCTGGACCACCTGCACATCCTGAGTCCATCTACTGCCATGATAACACACCTGAGACAGAGGGGGGAGGAATCACTATGTGACATCACAGACAGTAAACGGGTAGTAGAAGAAGAACAGGAAGGGGGACAGACAGCAGGGAGGAAGACAAGAAGAGGAGAAGACTCCGGTGTTGCTGTGGCAACACAGCCCTACATCTCTGTGGTGATCATGGTGGAGCAGAAGGATGGCATGGCCTGGAAGAACATGGAGGCGGGGCTAGAGGAGGAGGAGATGGGACTGATGCTAAGCTTCTCTGTGAGAGCTGTTGTGATTGGTCCAGTGGTCAACTGGGGGCGGGACCCAAAAAACGGACCAATGACAGACAGAGAGATGGCGAGGGAGAGGGAGGACAAGGTGAGAAACACACCTGTGTGGGTGATATTTGTCAAGATGCACTTGGAGTGGAGTAATCAGTGTGTTACCTGTGTGTGCAGGTCGTGCTGGTGTTCTCAGGTGTGTCAGTTCGGTGGTTTCCTCTCCTGCAGCCTGGATGTTTCTACAGACTCATCGCTGCTAACACTCGGGTAACTACACCTCTTACTATGTCAGGGGTGGGGCTGATGGCTCACCTGTAGCTCTCGTTGGGGGATCAGTGCCTGTGACAGCTGGTCATGCTGTCAGAGCCAGTCAAAGCACAGATTAGATGTGACATCACTGAAAAATGAAGAACTGAATAGGCACGTCTGAAAGGTCTCAGATCAGATCACATTTGATCAGCGGCAATCAGTGCACGGTGCAGCTGGTTAGTTTTATGTACACGTTGATCCTGACATGACCTGGGTCTCACCTGATCTGAGAGCTGATTGGTTTAAATGCTGGATCAACAACATGACATTTTATAGAAATGTATAATTTCTCGTGTAATTGCAGAGATTGTGATTAGTTAGTATTTGCACTATGAAGATTTTTTCTGGATGAATGTGGTTGATGGTGACATTTATCAGAGAAGTTAAACACAGTCATGCATTTATGTAGTTATGACATCTGTAGTTATGAAGTCCTTTGAAAGACTGGCGTTGGCCCACCTGAAGGACACCGTAGACCCCCTGCTAGGCCCCCTGGAGTTTGCCTACTGGGCAAACAGGTCAGTGGACGATGCAATTAACATGGCACTGCATTACACCCTGCAACACCTCAACTATGCGCGGGCCCTCTTTGTGGATTTCAGCTCGCCATTCAACACCATCATCCTGGACATCCTCCACTCCAAACTGACCCAGCTCACTGTGCCTGCCCCCACCTGTCAGCGGATTACTAGCTTTCTGACAGACAGGAAGCAGCAGGTGAGGCTGGGGAAAACCACATCCAGCACCTGGACAATAAGCACAGGTGCACCCCAGGGATGTGTGCTCTCCCCTCTGCTGTTTTCACTCTACACCAAAGACTGCATCTCGAAGGACCCCTCTTTCAAGCTCCTAAAGTTTGCTGATGATACAACGGTCATTGGTCTCATCCGAGACAGCGACGAGTCAGCCTACAGACAAGAGGTTGAGCAGCTGGTCCTGTGGTGTAGCCACAACAACCTGGAGCTGAACACACTCAAAACAGTGGAGATGACAGTGGACTTCAGGGAGAACCCCCCACCTTACCCCCCCTCACCATACTTGGCAGCACTATGTCAGCAGTGAAGTCCTACAAGTTCCTGGGCTTCACTAAATGTAGGAGAAGGGAAAAATAGACATGAAGCGTAAAAAACATGAGGGTTAGCAGAGGATTGACTCATTTGATATAAAGGAATCAGCAGCGTGAGACACACATAGAAAATGCTGCCAAAAACCCTTTCAGTGTAAATTAGAGGTTATACAAACCAACGGTGGTTTGTTAGCTTCGCTGAGGAGGTTATGTCTTGGTTACCTACCTCTGTGTGTGTGTGTGTGTGTGTGTGTGTGTGTGTGTGTGTCTGTGTGTGTATAATGACTGTAGCAGACATTACCAGTCATTTTTTTGTCTTTCTTGAGGTAATACTCATGTGCAAGAGCCTCTGAAATTGCCACAGTCTGTGTGCTAACCAGCATTTTCCTGTCAACTCTGTGGGGGATTAGCTTAGTAAATTATAGTAGGGCCAACACTCCTAACAATTTATCTTATTTTGTGCTTCACTGATGCTGAAATGGGAGATGCTCTGTAGATGTTGGCTTTCGGACGTTCAGGTACGTTGCTAGCACCTATTGTTAGCAGTGCTAAGCTCTGTAGCATCGTGAGACAGCAGTGTTGTTTTCTTTATCAAACAAAATCAGCACTGGTCATCTGTAATGAGCCAACACTACACCAGAGTGTGTTGTTAGCTTAAAATTTAACAGGAGCAAGACGATTGTGTGCATTTGCATGTGCAAACTTGCAGTCCAGAGTGAGATATACACAAAGAGAGAGTGAGAAAGCACAGATGGTATTTATACTTTGGAAAATTAATATTGAAACTTTTTCAAATATTCATAATTGATATGTATTGAAAATGGGTACTTTTGACAACACTACAATGTAGTGGACAATTTCGGAACCATCCTGGGTTTGTGTCGGTCGGCTTGTGGAGTTCACCCTGACCTAGTTTTACTGCAGCATCAGAATCCTGGCAGCTCATTGGTCTGTGTGTGTGTCCATAAGGATCCCAGTGTTCTGATTGGCTCTGGTGTTTCTGAGCAGAGCAGGGTGGAGCTCCAAACTGACTCCACCCTACAGGTGCGATCTGATTGGAGGTTCCACACTCTGACACTCCCACAGCTGCTGCACACCTGCAAACAGGTAACACACACACACACACACACACACACACACACACACACACACACACACACACACACACATATAAATACAAGTTTAACACAGAACATGATAAAAAAAAAACTCTCTCTGTGGTTCTCTAGGCTCTCTCACCCACAGTCCTGTCGGTCTCTGAGGTCCTGGACTGCAGGTGAACCAGTCCATCACACACCTCTACTGTTTACACACACTGATGCCTCCTGTAGCTGCTGCTTCAGCATTAACTGCTAACATTAGAGAAATGTGTAGATTTGTGTTCTCAGACCCAGGGTGTATTCAGAGCCTGAAACCTGTTCCTGTCAGATGCTGTGACTGAGGTGATCGATAACTCATGTCTGTATGTGTGTGTGTGTGTAGTTCAGAGCTGGTGTGTTTTCAGGGTCTGGTGTCTGACAGGATCAGTGTGGACGATAGGACAAGCGACTCACACACAGGTACACACACACAGAATCAACTAATGTTCCCTCAGCACAGAAGAAACAAGCCACATGGAACTGTGATTATGAACCAGTTTGAGGGTTCAGGCCTGGTTTTAGGGTTCTGGTTAGAACCAGGTTTAGGTTTGGGGCTAGGGGATGTAGTTTGTCAGTGAGAGTCTTCACAAAGATGGATAGACATGACAGTGTGTGTGTTCAGGTGTGCGTCTCACTATGTGTGACCAAAGTGGGAAGAGTCTTGAGGTGTACCTGGACCTAAGCCACACCCCCTACCAACCTGGCCTGTTGCCAGGCAACACCCTGCTGCTGTCTGGTTTCCAGAGGAGGCTGTCCAGGTAACACACATTCTTGTTTTTATCACTTGCTGGGTACCTACACAGACTTACATTTCTGGGAGACTAAGGCCCCGTCCTGTTTGTTGTTGAGTTCCCTTGTTTTTCTGCCAAGCTTTAAACAGAGTTACAAGGAAGCGTGGTTGAAATCTTCCCATGTGAAACGGGACGACCCTTCAAGACCTCTGTGCGTCATCGGTAGTTAATGATGATGGTTAAACAGATGTGACGAGTTGAATCACACAGTGCGCCAACTGGGGGGTGAACTGGGATTGGGCCTGCCTATAACCTTAACCAAAGCCAAACGTTGTTCTAACCTTACACCTTGTTTTTGTAAAATTTGATGATTCACTTTGTGTGCTCCCAGTTTTCCCGTGAGTATAGAAAAGCAAGGCCACATGTGCACATTTCACAGTAACATTCAAACATTTGAAGGTGTTTACATGCGGCCCCTCCCTCCTCTAAGCAGAGGGACATCGAGAAAATGCAGTGGAATAACAAAGAAGGACGGTCGGCGTTGACCCTGAAGGCTACGCTCTGTGATGGTTAAGGAAGTACAGGGTCCACCACTCATTAGGTTCCCATACTAGAAACAGCAGTTTTGGGTTGTTCGGGATCTCATTTTTCACAAGGGCCCCATCTGTGTTGAGCGAATGTTGTGCCTTGGTGGTATATGCTCTTGTTCTTCCTGTGTTCCAGGTCAGGAAGAGTGTACTGCAGTTATTTACCCATCAGCTCAGTAACCGTCACGTCACTGGGAGACACAAGGTAACTGATCTACCAACGACTGATCAGGACTAAAACAACTCCTACGTAGTGACACATTAACATGTGTGTTTTCCTCTGTCAGCGCTGCTCGGCATCCTCCTGCTCCCATCATGCACCTGGGTCTGTGGACTCTGAGCAGGGAGCACATTGTGGGTCAGGTCAGAGGTCACGTGGTGCGTTTCCTGTTCCTGCAGCTGCAGTGGAGCTGCTCGCTGTGTGCCGGTCTCTACACACAGGTACACATAGGTACACACTACTTATACACAGTGTACACACAGGTAGATATGATACTAATAAATAAAAATTAAACCTGATCTCAGAGCAGCAGGAGCCGTTTATGAATTTATCATTGTTTAGTTTCTAAACTATCCTGTGATAAACTCCCCTTGCTCTCTGTCTCTCTCTCTCTCTCTCTCTCTCTCTCAGTCTTGTTCCAGTTCTCAGTGTCATTCGACCTCCTCAGTGTTTCAGTCCAAAGCAAAGTAAGAATCGGATTCACCTGGAACCCGCAGCCTGGACTGAGTCTGCTGGGTTTTCATTTAGTATGTATTTGTACTGATCAGTGATTGATGACGTATCGATCTATATTTTAATCAGAGTGGTGATTGATGATGGCACAGGTGAGGTTCACGTTTGGTTCTCGGGTGCTCTGGTTCGTCCTCTGCTGGGATTGGCTGACTCTCAGTGGGATGGGCTTCAGAGGGCCCTCAGGGTCAAAGGTCACATCAGAGTGTACCCCCGGGGGCAGAGTCTGGTCAGTAGCACTTCCTGTGCTCAGACAGTTTCTGTAGATGTTTAACCTGTGTGTAACTGTATTTACCTGTGTGTCTGTCTCAGGTGTGTGACTCTGAGTCTGATGACGCCCTCCTCCACTTCCTGTTGTCTGTGTGCAGCACTGATGTTGTGTGTCGTCCGATCTCTATCATTTGCAGGAAAAATAACAATCAGAGACCACAGGGTAACACACGTTTCATTTATTTCAAAATAAGAACATAGTTCAATTTTACCCAGATAACATGTTGCCTGATTTAGTGAAACCACACCTGAAGAACATGTAGTTTGTTTGTTGCAGAGCTGCGGAGGTTCAGTCGAGCAGACAGAGACTTCGTGACCAGGATGCCTGCTCCTCTACAGCTCACCTGTCTGCACATCCACACTGACTGATCTCACCTGTCTGTGTAGTAACACCGACTGACAAGTTTAACTTCATGTTTACACTACAAGCTCTGTGAGCCAGACAGTTTAACGTCCAATTGGACAGAACCTAATGTTCTTTAAGATTCATTTTAATGTTGAACATGTTACAAGTGAATAAATCCATTTTCTCTCCAGTCTGAACTCATACTTCACAGAACAGTCACCTTTCGCCCAGGTGAACAGTCCCATACTGTACAAATTTACCAGTTAGGGACTGACTCTCAAGTGGAGATCTCCTGATCACATCTTCAGTATTTAAAATGTCACCTGATTTATTTTTATTCCGGAGTTTACTGAAGCACCAATAGCCTCTCATTATCAATAAACTAAACCTGAACGAAGGGAAACAGAATCAATCTCAGTGTCAAGGGTTGGGCAGGACTCAGGTTGCAGGCACAGGCTGAGGTACAGTAATTAATAGATTTTAATATAATTGATATGGAACAAAGAGACAAGTGGAACAATTAAGGAGCTCAACCTGACAAAACAACACAAAGAAGAAGACAACAAATAGACAGTTCAGTGAGGGAGCTATATAACAAACAGAAAATACATGGAACAAAACCAACAAATCAAAGGAGCAGCGAAAACCCAAAGTAGCAGGTTAAGTCCAGATTAACATAGTCCATAACAAGGGAGAGGGGAAGATTCCAAAAACCTACAAGTAGCAAACAAAACTGGAGATAGTGATGTTCCATCTGACACCAAGGCTCTGAAGCTTGCTTCAAACTTGGAAGGGTATTTTTCTTAAGCACTGTGCTGGAGCTTGCTTCAAATCGGGAAAAACCATGTGACTGATGATGCTCAAACCACTTCCCTGCTTCATTCACACTGAATCAGCTGACTGGTTTAGTTCGATAGGAGCTTTGAAACAACGCGATACAGATGTATTTAAATTGGATGAAACTGTGTTCTGTCCTACCTCCTGTCAACACATTTTGGATTGCCTTGCTATGGAACCATCAAGGAAACAGTCACAAGTGTGGGAACATTTTCAATTGGTGCCACCAAATAAGATAAATTATATTTCACGAATGGTGCGCCGCTTGAAATCAGAATGTGCTGCCTTAATCCAAAATGCACCCCATGACGCAGTACCATCAACATCATCAACACCAGCACAGCCAGAACCTGCTGCGGCTTCCACAGGTACACCATTAATCACATTTGTATTTATATATTTATTTGTAATTAAATGCTTTATAAATGTCCTGTAATGTTTTATTTTCAGGCACTGACCTGTAGAAGCTTCTTGAGAAAGATGCCAAAAAATCTCAGAACACTACTGCAGATGCCATTGTGGAGGTTCAGCTATATCTGTCTGCTCCTCTGGACAGATCACAGGGCCCCTTGGGTTACTGGACGATGCACAAATCCCTGTACCCATACCTGTTCAACCTGGCCAAACAGTTCCTGGCGACACCAGCATCTTCTGTGCAGTGTGAAAAGGTCTTCTCCCAAGTTGGGGAAGTTGTCTCAAAAAAGCGAAATCATCTAAAACCATCTAATGTGGAGACAATATTATTTTTGAATAAAAATACCTGAGTCACACAAGCACATCCAGTGTTCACCAAGCACAATCTGAACGCATCATATTACATTGTAATAACATTAATTAACATCCACAGCCTCATTGAACCCTGTAGATATTTGCTCTGTCCAGTGTGTAATTTGGGATGAATAATTATGAATCCATTTCATATTCTTAAGAATTCTAGGGGAAGGAGGATTACTTAGGTAGTCAACGGACATTCCAGAGAGAGTGCCAGCCTCACTGTTCCATAGACTTCCATTCAAAAAGACGATTCAGAATATTCACGGAAAGCAAACGGCAGGGTATTTGAGAAATCACCACGGTTCCTTCATTTTGTAGAATATTTTGACATAGAGGTGATCAGCATTTTCGCTGAAACCTCCTGCTGCTCAAAGTGAATAGATTTTTTTGATAGGACTTATAGTTTTTCTTCTGTTGTTTATTATGTCAAGTCTGTGCATTCCAGGTAATAAACATTGACTCTATAGCGCAGAGAGATGAGAGAGTTAGAGGCGAGTTACACATGAGATGATGGTAGAAAGAAAAAGAAAGATAGTGTAATATTTGAGTCATATGAACTTAAGTTTCTTTTCCTATTTTTTATTCCATACTTATATGTATCACAATTGCATTGATGACTGTTAAAACTGATTAGTATTTCCTGTTTGTCTGTTGAAGAATGTGTATACAGGATTTCTGCACTTTGAAGTTGACCAAATGTCCAGTATTTACTGTTTGTTTGTTAGGGTTTTTATAGATAGGATGTCTGCCCTTTGAAGATGACCATATGTTCATGTTTTTGTTAGATACCACCTGAGTTACAACACTCCCACACTATTTGATTAGCATATTCAGTAAGCTGACATGAGCAGAGGTTGGCCTGCTCACATCTATGGCCAATAGCATTAGGATATGTGTAAGTCCAACCTCTGTCCAGTTCCCGCACACAAAGATAAATTGAACTACAGATGATAACTTGGCACTCTTTTATGACGGGGTTCCTGTGGAAGCTCTATCAGCGGTGTATGGCTTTACATGTGACCAGACTTTGATTAAATTTTTTGCTGATTTTATACAGTCCTCTTCTGTCTTCAGTTTTCGCGCTTTCAATAAAAGAACTGGGTCGAACAATAGCGATCTATGTAAAGAAAACAAAGGGAGAGATACAGAGGACAGAGCCGGAGAAAGGGAGAGATACAGACAACTGCGCTGGAGAAAGTTAAGGAACAGACATGTGAGACGGAGAAAGGGAGAGAAAAATAAGGAACAAATGGCACTTTCCAAAAAAATAAAAGTGGACAGCGAAAATGGAGCATTTATGTGCCACGGTTTCTGAACACACAAGACACACTGGTTTAGTGCTCCCAGTGGTAAGTATGAACAGAAATGAGTCTGTCCATTCTGGATTAAAAGCGCCAATGTGAAACGCCATTATGAGACAAAACATAAAGGTTTTGAACAAACTCAAATCTGAAGTGAGATCACAGAAAATAAATAGTCTCAAAGACCAATATGACCAGTCCACCAGGATCCTGAGCCCAACAACATGCTCATGAGTGTTCCCTCATAGTTGCTTGGATTTTGGCTCAACGCAAAAAGCCATTTACTGATGGAGGGGTTGTCAAAGAATGCAACACTACTTGAGGGAAAACAAAAACAAGAGCTTTGTGATCAAATATAGCAAATACCCATGTCAGCATCATCTGCTACAAAGAAAAGTGAAATACTACTTTTATTTAGTAAATGAGAGAACATTATTCATATCGGCAATCATACATATATGTTCAGTTCTATCTTACATGACAATAAATATTATCAAAAGGTTTTTGAATTGTACTGAATTAATTTGATTTAACAGTCAGGAATTAATTACATGCATATATTGATATAACTACTAGGCTACTTAAACATATATCACACTAAATAGACATGATCTTCTGGACCTTTAAATTTTAGTTGAATACCCCTGCTGTAGAACAACGGATCTGCACATAGTGATGTGGAGATAGTGTGATGGAGGTGATCCTAACAAGAGAAAACAGAAAGACTGTGTTATAAACTGGAGTTTATGAAAGAAAATATGTTTGAAACTTGTACAGTTATTATATACCTTGACCACTGCTGGAGGGCAGGAAACCATTTTTACTCCAGAACAACTTCACAAAGACACATTCTGGAAAGTTTTATTATGAACTGGAGGGATGACAGAGGACCTGATGTAAACAGTTAATGTAAATACCACTGTAACATCCTTCAGCTGTTTCAGCAATTGATTTTAAGCATTTTCCGGGCAATCCTTCCGCATATCAGCATCCACACGCGTTTTTGACAGGAAATGCATTTCTCTAGTTTTCTCTTATTTCCGACCATGGTCAGTTTTTTTTGGAGCAGCTCCTGACCCAGGAAAAATTATCATAGGTAATGTTGTGTCCTTGTAGCCCTGCTGTCATTTCTAGGACCACCCTCTTCCCCTGATTTTTCTCAGGAACACCATCAGCCGGTTTGCCTGTGTGTACTTGCATGTTCCAGGCATAACTTGTCTCTGCATCAGATGTTGCCCATATCTTTATACCATAATTAGATGGTTTGTTTGGCATATACTGCTTGAACGGGCACCATCCCCTAAAACCGATGAGACGCTCATCAACAATGATGTCAGGACCTGGTTTGTAAATGAGTGGCAGGTGGTCCACCTACTTCTGCCAAACTTCCCTGATTGATGCCAGCTTGTCATGTTAACGGCGGGCTGCTCTTGTGTGGCAGTCATCAAAGTGAATCACACGTGACTGGATATGAAAGGTCTGCAAAGACAGTGTAGCATGAAAAATTGCCCAACCGGTGTCTGCATCCCATAAGCTGTATGCAGATTCGTTCCGGGATCTGTAGACACCACACAAAATCAACACACCCACGTAGGCTTCGATATTCACCTGGTCTCCCTCCTTCCAGGATCACTGTCATGGTCAACTATGAAGTCCACAGCTTCACATGCAGTATATCTCTTGGCCATTGTGCTGCCACACATTGAACTGTGAGCAAGGCCTCAAAAAAGATATATATATACTGAGAAGGTTGTATGATTCAAACAATGTTGAAGTTTTGTTTTTCAGCAGGTGTGGTTCATGTGGGGTAAAAATTATATTGTCAATAGGTTCCCATGGGGGTTGCCATGGAAGCCAAAAAGGGGCATAAGTTGTGTGTGTGTGTCTGCTCAAAGACACCTGTGTGTTGAGGTGTGGGAAAGGAGATCTCTGTTTTATACACTAATTGTAGGCTTACCCATTCATTTCTAATGACTAGTCATTTTTGACCGGGAAGACCTTGGGTGTATACAAGTTCCATAAAACACACATTTTCATAAAAATATTTCAAATTAATTTTATATGTTCAAATGCCATTTGTGAACAAAGTCATGGAACCTCATGATAAACGGATGAAATTTACGGCACTTTTTTAAGAGAAGAAACTTGTAAATTGGTCAGATTTGACCAGAACACAACAGGTGGGCTAAACTAACCACTAAATGTTGAAGACAATAAGTAGCTGCCATGTTAAGGAGGTAAAACATATTCTGGTATAAGGAAAATGAAAACTATTACAGGAGGATGCTTCTTTAGCTATCACTTCCTCTCACATATTACATCCTTTCATTTGTTTTTGTTTTTGTTTTTTTTGTCGTTGTTTTTTTTTTTTTTTTTTTTGGTGCTTGGAGGAAAAAATTATTACTTTTTTTTTTTGTAGCTTGAAGAAAAAAATTATACAATTCACATAAGACATAACATTTAGCGTTTTGATCAAGCGACCCGAAATCGTTTTAGCTTGGTTTTTAATAAAACTCGCCATCACACGCCTTTTTAATCACCATACGCCTTGACGTCATCACGCAGCGACGAGGTGTTTGTCCCGTCCTTCACTTTTCTCAGTCCAGCAGAAGTATTTTTTTCCATCTTAGTTGTTGTATTACGCGGGTTCTTCTTTTTTTGTGGAGTGACAGGTGCAAACAGCAGTGGTGGTCGGAACGAAAACACACTCTGGGAGGTTTTAAGCTTTCTTTCGGTGAGTGACTAGAGTTTATTACGAGCTTGGCAGCTACTATCAGTTTACCTTATTTTTAGATATTTGCAAACTGTTGTAAGTTAATTGTGTACAGTTTAATAGAAATTGAATCTAGTACAGCGGTGCCAAGAAGGTTAGCATATTGGTCTTTTGAGGCAGATGAATGGAAATTCAGAGTAATGGTTTTATAACAGTATTATTTATGTAGCAAAGTAACTAAAGCAATTTAGTTGATATAGTGAACAACAATACAGTACTTGATTTTTGTTTATAATGGTGGTTTTGAACAATTTCTCATCTTGTAGCAGCAGCCACTGCATCTCATGTCTTTGTGAAATCTCTCCTAGAGTCAAGTAGCAATGACAGCTCCAAATTCATCACAGAGGAAGGCCTGCTGGGATGCCAGGGACCAGTTGTGGAAATGTCTGAATGACAATGATGACAAAGCTGCGTCCTGCCAGAACTTCCAGAGCGAATTTGAGGCTAAATGCCCCTCTCAGTGGGTAAACTATCCCTCCTTTTTATCTTGGCAGTCAGAGTTCTGGGGTCTGTATCTAGTATAGACCATGATGTCATAAAGGATGACTTTTGAACAGAGCAAAAAAGTGAATTGACAGTCATTCATCCATCCATCCATGTTCTAAACCGCTTAGTCCCAAACGGGGTCACGGGGGGCTGGAGCCAATCCCAGCCAGCTGTGGGCGAGAGGCAGGGTACACCCTGGACAGGTCGCCAGTCCAACTGACAATCAAATTATTATAATTATTTAATTAGAATAGGCCTCATTCACAGAAGCACACGTCACTCAAGTGAGACTTGCATCCAGTCCAAATGAAGAATTGCAGGATTGTCTCTTATTTTTCCATTTTCCTTGATAGGTGAAATATTTCATCAAGAGGAGAAACTATTTGAAATACAAGGAGAAGATGCAGACTGAAGGCTTCACATCCACTGAAGGTCCCCAGCAGCCCTCTTAACATTACTGGACAGCAGACAGTGAAATCTGCATACTGACTTTTAAGCCTATTCAGACCAGGGCCCTGAGGTGCAGGACTTGGAGGAAGATTTTCTAAGTTTATGGTGGACAGAGTCTGTATTTCCTCTTATTTATTTATACTGATTGAAAGCAGTACTAGAACACCATACAGTACATGTTAGCAATTCAAAATGGCAACACAAGGGACCTGTTTGAAAATTCTTTGAAGTTTCATTTTCAGAAATACTTCCACATGGCCTCAAGCTCATGTGTACTGTATCAACCCAGATGGTCTGAGATATTTTATGACAAAGGAAATCAAAAAAGAAAAGTGATTAAAAAGATCTTTTATTTGTAAATCCAAATTTCTTAGTTAGCTGGATTTCACTGGAATTGGATGTAATGTTGTTACTGTGCTTAAACTCTTATCTTGTTAATAATTTAAATGAGAAGTATATATACTTTTAATTTTAATGTTAGAATACATATGATCAGTTGTGCAGCCTATACAAATACCCAGTACAGTACTGACCCACTGGGTCCAGCCCATGTGTCCTCACTCATCCTAAAACTGTAAACAATAAATTTAAAAAAAAGAGTTTTATGTTTTTGTTGGCTGTTGAATTTTCACCTCCTCCCTATTTCTGTGAGCAGTCATTGTACTGTATGCTCAGAACAGAATGGTGGTGTTCATTACTAATCAAAAGTTTGGACACACTTTTCCATTCAATTCATCGAGAAGATGTCTCCAAACTTTTGACTAATAGTGTACCTCCACGTGGAGTTTGGGGGATCTAAGAGTTTGTGTTAAATGAGGTTTTGTGAATTCAAACTAGCCTAGTTTGATCCATCATCAGCTTTACTGCAACTTCCTTCAGTTCCTGCTTGTTTGTGGGTCTTTCTGCCTTCAGTCAGTGAAAAGCATGCTCTTGGGTTGAGTTTGGGTGAATTTGCCTTAAGAAACTCTTGGGAAGCTTTTACTGTACGTCTTGGGTCATTATTGTTATCTGCAATATGAATCGATGGCCTATCAGTTTTTCAGCATCTGGCTGAATCTGAGCCGAGTATAGCCGTATCATCTTCATAATTCATCTTTACATTTATCAGCAGTCAGGTCATCAATAAACACCAATGACCCAATTCCATTGGCAGCCACACATGCCATACTACTGCTTCCATGTTTGACAGATAATGTGATATACTTTGGATCATGAGCTGTTCCCTCCCTTTTTCATAATTTTCTCTTCCTATCATTCTGGTAGAAGTTAATCTTGGTTTCATAAGTCCAAAGAATCTTATTCCAGAACTGGGCAGGCATTTTAGGTGTCTTCTGTTAAAGTCTAATCTGCCATTTCTGTTCTTGAGTATTACCAGTGGTTTGCACCTTGTTGTGACGCCTCTGTATTTACATTCATAAAGCTGTCTCTTGACTGTAGACTTTGACAATGGCATGCCTACATCCTCAAGAGTGGGTGTTAATGCCACTCCTTTGTCAAACTCCTTGAATTAAAGCTGAAAGTCTTGACTTTGCTCACATCTTAAGAGTTTTATTTCAAATTCAGTGTGGTGGTATACAGAGGCTAAATGCCAAAAAAAAACTATAATTGTTCCAATATTTCTGAACCTGATTTTAGATCCTTTGGTACCTGTTGCCTCCAGTGCCTTCACAAGGTCCTTTGCTGTTCTGGGATTTATTTGTACTTTTCAGACCAAAGTACATTCATCTCTAGGAGACAGAACACATCTCCTTCCTGAATGGTATGGTGGCTGCGTTGTCCCATGGTGTTTATACTTGTGTAGCATTGTTTGTATTGCATTGAATGTGGTACCTTCAGGTATTTTGGAAATTCCTTCCAAGGATGAACCAGACTTGTGAAGGTCCACCATTTTTCTCTGAGACCTTGGCTGATTTCTTTTGATTTTCCATGATGTCAAACGAAGAGGTACCGAGTTTGAAGGCAGGCCTTAAAATGCATCCACAGGTGCACCTCCTATTGACTCAAATTATGTGAATTAGCCTATCAGAAGCTTCTAAAGCCATGACATCATTTTATGGAATTTTTCAAGCTGTTTAAAGGCACAGTCAACCGAGTGTATATAAACCTCTGACCCACTGGAATCGTGATATCATGAATAAGTGAAATAATGAATCTGTAAACAACTACTGGAAAAATTACATAAACTGCATGACCTAACCAATTTGCCAAAATGAGAGTTTGCTAACATGACATTTGTGGGGTACACCCTGCAGATTGCCAGTCTGTCACAAGGCTGACACTAAGAGATAGACACCCACATTCACTCACTCCTATGGGCAATTTAGAGTCGCCTCTCAACCTAATCTTTTTGTCTTTGGACTGTGGGAGGAAGCTGGAGTACCTGGAGAGAACCCATGCAGGCACAGGGAAAACATGCGAACTCCACACAGAAAGGCACCGGGTTGGCTGGGGCTCGAATCCCGAACCTTCCTGCTGTGAGCTAACCACCACTCCACTATGCCACCTGCCACAAATTACATTTAAAATATAAAGATGTAAAGCACATCTTTTATATTTTTGCACATTACAGTGTTCTATGCAAACCTTTCCACCAGCAGACAAGTTATTGTGATTTGACAGTTGAGTGGACAAACTACTGCACCATATAACCCTGTGCTCACTCATACGTTCTCTCTTCCTTTAATGCCTCAGATGCTGTGTTCAACAGTAACTCAGATCTATAGCCTTCCAAATTTATGCATTCACATGTCACGTGAATAGTTACACCTCCAAGGTAATAACAAGAGCAAATATGGTTATCCTGTTGCTTAACATGCATTTTGTGATAAGTTCTGTAGCTACCAATACTTGATAAAGTGTTTTCTACCTTCTGCCTAATGCAATACTTAATTGCCATGGTTAAAAATAATTGAACTGGCATAACTCAAGATGTCAGCTTTTGGGACTTCATCATCTATTTCTGAATATGGAAAAAGCAACATCTGACAAACAGGCTGAAGACAAAAAAGTAATTCAAGAGACCAGTTAGGGGTCTTGTTTGTACAATCAAAAGCATCCAGCCAAATATCTCTCAGGCCTTAAAAACTACAGAATAAAAAAGAAAAAAAAGATGTTATACAGAGAAAGGAAAGCTTAGAAATCAAGTCAGTATAAAATATATTATGGTGTGATTAGTTTAAGAACCCGAGACTTTCCATATCTGACATACAGTACAGTTCACATTCTTGATATTATAAGGTAACACATGTAGGCATATGGCAAAGAAAAGGTATTGTAAAAAGCAGTGACACTGCTGCTATCTGTGATGTTGGGAGAATGGCAGTGAATAGTGGTCCTGCACTGCTCTGAGGTTACAGCAAGGGACTAATACTGTCAGGGTTAGAGGTTGGACTCCCAGAAGAGACAGTCAAACTAAAAGTGTAATACTGTAACAGGAACTAACATGGTAAAATGCACTAACTGTGCTGCAAGGTACGTGTTCTTCATATAATAAAGCACAAAATCAGCTTCAGAAGCTTTGGCAAAGACATTTGTCAGATATTAAAAGACCTAGATTTCCAAAACAATGCACATAAGAACATCTATGTACAGTATATATAAACTCTACATACACAATCTTGAGAAACGAATCTTATGGAGTATTATAAAAACAATAATGGGTACATCTGAATGGACTGATAAGTAGTTCTATGTATATAGTACATTAGGGACCATAGTAGACTCCTCTTTTAATGCATTTATATTGCTTTACTACAGCACTTTTTACAATGTAAAGTGTAACCGAGCTCATTTCTATAAAATATCAGCTTATCCAAAGAAGAAGGCATGTTGTGGCTCTAAAAGGCATATTCCAGGCAGCTTTTTCATTTTTCTATCACAAATGTAAAAACAAAATATCAACACTTGAGTGCCTCAAATATGTATAAGCAGTAAGTGATGTCTTCAGTGACTCAGTGAAAACAGTCTCTCTCAAAACATCATTCTTCTTCTTCTTCTGGCTGTTCCCATTAGGGATCACCACAGTGAATCATCAGTTCCCACCGAACTGACTATGCACACTTGGCATGTTTTATGCTGGATGCCCATCCAGATAATGTCTAATTTAGAGTCGCCAATCAACCTAAGTGGCATGTCTTTGGACTGTGGGAGGAAACCAGAGCACCCAGAGAAAACCCATGCAGGCACCGGGAGAACATTCTATCAAAACTTCATTAATGGAGATACATAAAGAAGGTTTTGCTGGAGGTCAGAGCTCCACCCAGTGGCCACTTTCACAAAGACATTTGGCATTACTTGTGGATAAAATACTCAAAATCATGATTTTCACTATCCTCTTCCCTCCATCCTGCTTCCTCCTTAAGGTTCAATCTAAGGAAATGGTTAAGACCATTGAGATGCCATATTTCATTTTCTTGCTGTCTTTTATCACAGAGACATTTGCTCAGTTTCTCATCCTGTCTTTCACTGACTGATTCATGTTGTCTCCTTGCCACTGGCCCCATCCAACCGGTGGCTATAAGCTCCCAGTGATGTTCCTGGCCACCACCCAGGCTGGGAACTCAGTAAGGTTGAAGAGGGAAATCCCCCACGTGGTGATGGCCAACATGACCACTGCCACACCAATCAGGTTCACACCAAAACCCGCTTTCACCTGCAGAAGAAGAGAAAAAGGAAGCTAAAAACCAAATGGCAATATGGTGAAAAAGTAAATTTAAAAATAAATACCAGAGCTAGATGTTTTTGTTCACCAAGAGCTAAGAAATTAAAAAAATCTTCATCCCTCTGATTACGAAAGACAATTTTGACACAGTACCCTTGAACCTTCTGATGCTGCAGGTGCAGAAAGAGCGTGTGTGTGTGTGTGTGTGTGTGTGTGTGTGTGTTGTACCATGTCGCTGATCTGCACGTGGCCGTAACTGAAGACAATGGCATTGGGGGGGTTCCCAACTGGAAGCATGACCCCAAATGACACACACATGGTGGAAGGGATCAAAGTGTGGAGGGGGTTGATGTGCAGAGTCTCTGACTGGGAAGAGGAAAGGGGGTGAAAAAGAACAGCGGGTGCAAAGAATGAAGAAGAGACAAGAGAAATGAGAAAGGTGGAATGAGAGAGAAAGGGGGAGACAAAGATAAATCCAGTGTGGTGGGGAGAGAGAGAGAGACAAGGTATTCACACTCACTTGTGACCAATCCAAGAATATGAAACCATAATCAACATATGGAAAGCAAAGTCAAAGGCCATTAAGAGCGAAACACTAAAAACACTTAGCTCAGTGTATGGGTGTGAGTGTAGTTTGATGAGAATTGACTGTCACTGGCCTAGTCACAAAAACAAACACCATACTAAATGTTCATGTGAAATTACCAAAGTGTTTTAAAATCATTCCAACTTTAACAAAAAATATTATCCTAATATAGGATCCAATCACTCTTATTAAGAAGTTCCATCCATCCATTATCTATACCGCTTATCCTGGAGAGGGTCACAGGGGGCTGAAGCCAATCCCAGCTGGCACTGGGCTAGAGAGGGTACACCCTGTACAGGTCGCTAGTCTCTTATTAAAAAGCTGTATTAAAAAAATTGTGCTTAGGGTTTATACGTTATCGGGGCTGGATGGAAATTTTTATTTAGTTTTGCCAGTGTGTAAGTTTACTTTAGCTGAATTTTAATGATGTTGCAGCAGCTGTTAGCATTGTGTTACAAATTTTGGACTATACATATTTCTAGGCACATTAGTACTTGTGTTGACAACATTGTGCCCACCATACAAGTCAGGAGGTTTCCCAATCAGAAGCCCTGGGTAAACAGTCAGGCATGCCACATGCTGCATGCTTGCTCTCATGCATTTAGATCAGGTAATGACACGGAGTACAAAGCTGTGAAATACAGACTGAGGAAAGCCATCACAGCGGCCAAGAGGCAGTACAGAGAGAAGCTAAATGGCTTCTATTCTACTGCTGACTCTGGACAAATGTGGCAAGGCCTGCAGCACATCACAGACTGCAGGACCACCACCAGCATCATCAGCTCCACAGACAGCGTGCTGGATGACCTCAACACCTTCTACACCCACTTTGAGACCTCTAGCTACAGCACACACCTGGACCACCCAACCCCCCACCTCCCCTCCACTATCTGTCTCACCAGGTGTATGCACGCATGTACGCACAGTCCTGAGGAAGATCAACCCTCACGAAGCAGCAGGACCGAACAACATCTCTGGGAGGGCTCTCAGGGTGTGTGCCAGCGAGCTGGCTGATGTTCTCACCACCATCTTCAACCTTTCCCTCAGCCAGAGCATCGTTCCCACCTGCTTTAAGACCACAACCATCGTCCCCCTTCCCAAGAAGAGCCCGGTCACCTGCCTGATCGACTACAGGCCAGTGGCACGCACCCCAATTAGTATGAAGTGTTTTGAGAGAGTGGTGCTGGCCCGCATTCAGAGCATTATACCGGACACCCTGGACCCCCTGCAGTATGCCTACCGGCACAACAGGGCCACCTCAGATGCCATCGCGGCTGCCCTCCACTATTCCCTTTCTCACCCGGAAAATGGAGACTCCTACATCAGGATACTCTTCATT